TTGAACAATTTTTCCTTTTGCTCTTATCACCTTAGTATGTGATTACTTTGAATTATACATTATTTGGTACTGTTTTTATGAGATATTACAATTATGGTTATATGAAAAAAAAAATCTTGGCAAAACAATTGAAAAACAAATCTTGTCATATGAATCTTACCCAAAAAAAATTCATGTCATTTGAATTTCAATTTTCACTTAAATTATCAAAGAATTTTTTGAAAAAATAGTCTGATCCGATGTTATCCGGAACAGCACTAAACACAGTATAACTTAGTCAGACTATTTATCCGGAACAACACCAAACGCCTTATAATATTATGGATAAACAGTCAGTACTCTCCGGAACAAATTAATACTATCCGATAGAAATTAGTCAGTTCAGTCCAACGTACCAAACGAGCCCTTATGGTACAGTTGAATGTACTAGAGATCTTTCTCGATTACATTGTAAGAAGTGCATTGATGTTGAACAAGCGAACTTGTAGATCGTGCTTATAAAATGAAAGGTGGACTTGCGGTTTATGGTAGTTGTTATATTAGATTTGAATATTACTAATTTTTTTAGGTATTGTTTGTTTTGAAAAATGGGTTCTTTGAGAAAGTCAATCCTAGACACATTATTCTAGGATACCATAATATTCTCATTATAGTGTTGAAGAGATGATTCTTTTGTGTCTTCTTACCCCTATTACTACAATTAACGAAATTCGTGCTAGTAATATTGAAAAATGTACTTTGAAATAATATTGGAAGTTATTTGGTTGTTTCGTCATTCTTGATGGGTTCAACCATTTAGTTTTTTAAACTTTTCATTTTCATTTATGTAAATAATGTTTTTTTAAGTGTAAATCGGTTTGAATTAAGATAGGGTAGAATAAAGATGTCGTAAAATATCTTGCAAATCCGAAAGAGATTTGGGGGTTAAGAAGGCATTAGTATTGTGCTGGCCAACGAACCTTCGACCCTCGCGCCAATAAGATTGTGTACCGCGGTGTGTTGATGAGAAGAGTTTATGTAGCAATGGGCCCTTGTTTAAGTAGAAGTTAGAAATATAACTTGTTTGTAACTCAAATTCTATGAGAAAATCTAAGATTAAAGATCTTATGGCCTACATAGGCTCTTAACCCCTTCTCCAAGCTTGTTCCAAAATAGGGATGACATCCTGAACACGTCCAAACTAGGATTCTATTCACTTCCCTTGTGGGAAAGTCAATCTAACTTGCCTTAAGTGAAGGGAACTTTTGAGTTTGCCAAGATCATATGAACAAAATACTATGTATAATCATAATTATGGCAACGGAGGCTTAGAAGTCAAAACATGAGTTCAAACACAAGTCTTTTTGTAACGACCTATCTCGAGTTTTCATTTATTTAATTGCATTCTAGCGTGATAGAAATTTTGGAAATTTTTTTTCGGAGTTTATTTGGATTAATATGATCTGGGGACAATTAGAAGTATGCAAGAAAACATTTAACTTTTTCTTGAGGTCATTATACGTGGTTACGAGCCCGTATGATTTTTAAGTGAAAATATAGTTCAATGTTGACATGGCCGGTTTTGAGGCAGTGGGGAAACAACCAAGTAAAAGTATCGTGTGGATGAGAATAAGCCAGCTCAAGGACAAGCACCATGTTGGATTATTGCCCACATATGTTATGTGGCAGAATCTGGTTCGACAACAGGTTTTCTAGAAGGTGCCACATCATCATGCCATGCCATCGTTGCCACATCATCATGCAGCATGCTACAACTCTTACCCATAAATTTCCACTGTAGAACAGTTGATTTCATAGATAATTTGTTTAGCCACTCCTTAACATTTTGATTCATCCCAGTTTGCCTCCTCAAAATCATCTTATAGAAGAAGGGTATACAGCCGATATATTACAGAAGAATTTCGTAAGATGATAACATTATACCTGTAGCCATATTATTATTCTGAAACTTTTCAGCTGAATAATTGGTCCCTGTCTGTCACATAAATATTAAATTAAGGTTTATATCAGATATTGGATGCTCAAACTTAGCCTTGAATTGAAATCTGAAATCAATGATCTTGAAGAAAGCATTCAAGGGCTCATATTAGGGTTGACCCTGAACTGTGCCTCAGTTTCCTGAAGAAAATAAAGTTAACTACTTGCCATCTATATATCTTGCCATTGACGTTGTTTTCCAGCCAGTGAAAAGAAAAAAAACAGGAAATCATAAGGACATTATTTTCCTCTTCTCTTCACGAATTCCAGTTCGATAATACCTTCAACCCCAGCATTGTTAGCCTCTAAAGCCTCATATTCAATCGATAGTGAACTTTGATTATGTTCCATTTTTCCAATCTCTTCAATTTTAAATGCCATGGCTTTCACTTTTTTCCAATATTTTGTTAAAAAATCTAGTGTGGAAATACAAATAAGCAATTCACTAGGAAAAATTGATGAAGCTGATTCGTCAAAGTGTCATTTGTTTAGAAATTCTCTCTACAGTGACGTCTGGAAATTAATTGAATGGCTTCCTTTTCTTGTTTGTTTCAGTGTTTGAATTGAATGGCTTCCTTTTCCTATGGAAATGACTTTGAATCTTCTTTCAGTTAGTGTCACGCCCCAACCCACGGATTTACGTAACCTTGGATTAAGACGTGATTCACACCTTAATTATAGAATTTAATAAAAACTATAACTAAAATGGGAAGAGACATTTAAATAAATAAAGTAAATATTTCACATAGAATATTCGAAACAACATCTGAAAGCTTGAAAATTTTACATTATTTTACAAGTCAGAACTACTCAAGAGTTCACTTAAATGAGTAGCTCATTATTTATCCATAAGCTATGTACACAGCACACTCTTATAAATATGCCAAAATCATCACAAGCTCTAACTTTCAGGTTCAGTACCTGCAAAATCTATTAGGGGATGAGCGAAACCACAGCTCAGTAGGGACATAAACCTTTTTACAGGAAATTGATATAATTAAATTAAGTGATATCCAATCACACAGCCAAATATCACATTATTAATAATAATACATGAATGCTCTTCATCTAATCCCGTTAATTCATATAACTGGACAAGCAGACCTGCACGTCCCATACCATGCTTATACCACTTGGTCCCGAATGCCCATTTAATTATATGAACTAACAC